TGTATTGCTGGATTTGATTTGCTAGTTTGTTCAGAATTTTGGCGTCTATGTTCATCAGGGGTATTGACCTGTAGTTTTCTTTCTTTGTAGTGTGTTTTTCTGGTTTGGGAATTAGAATTATGCTGGCCTCATAAAACGAACTTGGATGTCTTCCTTCTTCTTGAATTTTTTGAAATAGTTTGAGGAGAATGGGTGTTAGTTCTTTTTGAATGTTCGGTAAAACTCTCTCGTGAAGCTGTCCGGGCCTGGGTTTTTGTTTGCTGGGGGAGTCTTGATTACCTCTTCAATTTCCTTAGTTGTTATTGGTCTGTTCAAATTTTCTATCTCTTCCTTGTCCAGTTTTGGGAGACTGTGTGTTTCTAGAAATTGTCCATTTCACTTAGATTGTTGAATTTGTTGCCATATAATTGTTCATAGTAGTTGTTAATGATCTTTTGTATTTTTGTAGTGTCAGTTGTTACTTCTCTTTTATTTCTGATTTTGTGTATTTGGGTTCTCTCTCTTTGTTTCTTGGTGAGTCTAGCTAAGGGTCCATCAATCTTGTTTATCTTTTCGAAAAACCAGCTCTTTGTTTCATTGATCCTTTGAATTATTTTTCTGGACTCTATGTCATATATTTCTGCTCTGATCTATACTATTTCTTTCCTTCTACTTGCTCTGGGGTTTTCTTTTTGTTTGATGTCTAGTACTTTAAGTTGTGAGGTTAGATAGTCCATTAGAGATTTTTCTTGTTTCTTGAGGTAGGCCTGTAGTGCTATGAACTTCCCTCTCAGAACTGCTTTTGCTGCATCCCATAGATTTTGTGTTGCTGTGTGTTCATTTTCATTGGTTTCCAGGAAGTTTTTAATTTCTTCCTTGATCACCTCAGTAACCCATTCATTGTTTAATAACATGCTATTTAGCCTCCATGTATTGCAATGTCTTTGCATGTTTTTGTTGCAATTGATTTTTAGTTTCATTACATTGTGATCTGAGAAGATGCTTGATATGATTTCAGTCTTCTTGAACTTCTAGAGATTTAGTTTGTGTCCTATTATGTGGTCTGTATTTGAGAATGTCCCATGTGCACTTGAGAAGAATGTGATTTCTGTAGTTTTGGGGTATAATTCTCTGTAGATATCTATTAAATCCATTTGGTCTAGTGCTTCATTTATATTCTCTGTTTTCTTGTTAATTTTTTGTCTAGAGGATCTATCCAGTGATGTCAGCAGGGTGTTGAAGTCCTCTGCTATTATTGTCTTGCTGTTGATTTCTCCATTAAAGTCCTCCAGAAGAATTTTAATATATCTTGGTGCTCCTATATTGGGTACATATATCTTTACCAAGGTTATATCTTCCTGTTGGATAGATCCTTTCGATATTATGTAGTGGCATTCTTTGTCTCTCGTATGCCCTTCATTTTGAAATCTATTTTATTAGATATGGGTATTGCTCTACCCCCGCTTTTTTTTCTGTTTGCTTGGAAGATTTTTTTTTCCATCCCTTCACTTTCAACCTATGTGAGTCTTTTGTTGTGAGGTGGGTCCCTTGTAAACAACATATAGATGGGTCATGCTTTCTTATCCAATCAGCTACTCTGTGTCTTTTTATTGGTCCATTTAGATTTAAGGTGATTATTGATATGTACTTATTTATTGCCATTTTTGTTTAGTTTGGTTATATTTTTCTTCCTATTTCTTCTACTAATTACAGCAGTCCTTTTAACATTTCTTGCAGTGCTGGTTTGGTGGTAATGTATTCCGTTAGCCTTTTTTGTCTGGGAAGCTCTTTATTTGACCTTCTATTTTGAATTATAGCCTTGCTGGGTAGAGTAGTCTTGGATTCAGATCCTTGTTTTTCATGACCTTGATTACTTCATGCCATTCCCTTCTTGCCTGTAGTGTTTCTTGTGAGAAGTCAGCTGAGAGCCTTATGGGGTTTCCTTTGTAGGTAACCTGTTGCTTATCTCTTGCTGCTTTTAGGATTCTCTTTTTGTCTTTAATTTTTGGCATTTTAATTACTATGTGTCTTGGTGTGGGCCTGTTTGGGTTCTTCTTACTTGGGGCTCTCTGTGCTTCTTGAACTTGAATGCCTTCTTCCTTCACCAAATTAGGGACGTTTTCTGTCACTATTTCTTCAAATATATTCTCTAACCCTTGCTCATTTTCTTTTTCTTCAAGGACTCCTATGATGTGAATATTATTACGTTTCCAGTTGTCCCACAATTCTCTTAAGCTGTCTTCCTGTTTTTTTTTAATTGTTTTTTTCCTTTTGGTTTTCTGATTGGTTGATTTTTTCCACCCTGTCTTCTAATTCACTGATCTGGTCCTCAACTTCCTCTACTCTGCTGTTTAGACCTTCCAATGTGTTCTTTATTTCTGATATGTCATTCTTCATTTCTTCCTGGTGGTTTTTCATTTTTAGTTGGCTGATTTTCAACATTTCTATGTCTTTACTCATGGTGTTGATGTCCTTACTCATGCTGTTGAGCTTCCTCAAGATCATGGCTCTGAATTCTAGCTCTGTTAACTTGCTTAACTGCTCCACATTTATCTTATCTTCAGTAGAGGTTTCTTGTTCTTTCATTTGGCTTTTGTTTCTGTGTTTCACCATTTTGGCTATCACAGTGAGCTTTGGAGCCTGCCAAATTTTCCCTGTGGGTGTTGGTGTTCTGCTGTTTGTGGCTCCCTCTCCTGGGTTTGGATGACCAAGGGAGGACCCACATTAAACACCACTGTCAAGTTTTACTTTCCTGGTTAGAGTTGCTAGCCCAGGAATGGTTCAGTTATCCTCCAGCTTTTTGCCTGGGGGGTATCAGTAGCAGTTACTTGAAGAGCCTTGAGTTCTCAGTTGAATGAAAAACTCCCTCAAGTAAGGGGATTTCCTGAGGGTGGGGCAGATGCTGGTTGTTAATGAACCTCAATTTGCATTTTAGTGTCCCACCTGGTGGGGTTGAATCTCCACGGGAGGGTCCGCTGCCTCTCTCCAGATCCTTGGGAAGGAGTAAGATGGCCACCGTCCTGTGTGGCTGCAACTCAGGAAAAGCTCTGAGCGCCCTCCAAATCCCGTGTCCCCACACAGTTTTAGTCCAGTCCGTCCTCCCTCTGCCGGAGCCCAAAGTGAGTGGCTATGGCTATTTTAGCGTCTGTCCGGCTCTGGGCTGTGGAGCCGCTTGGGAGTTTAACCCCAGGGCGCTGCTCACAGCCAAGGCCACTGTAATCTGTGGGCTCCCAGCCCCCCTCTCATGCCTCTGCAGTCCTACCAGGATCAAGTCAGTATCCCTGATTATATGATCCTCGCAAGCTGCTTTTCTGTTGCTTTTTCCTGACGATTTGTCTTTATTTTAGTTGTAATTCCAGTTTGGTCCTGGGAGATGGTCTCTATAGCTTCCATTCCCTCTGCCACCATTTTGGAATCCCTGACAATTTTCTTTCAGATTATTATTATTGTTATTATTTTTAATCCTCACCTGAGGACATTTTTTTCCATATTTTTGTTCAGGTAGAGTGGGAGGGAGAGAGAGGAACAGACAGAGATAGAAACATCGACGTGAAAGGGACACATTGAGTGGCTGCCACCCGCACAATCAACCAGGGCTGGGGACAAACTGCAACTGAGGCACCCACCCTTAGCAGGAACCGAACCTGGGTCTCTTGGGACCGCAGGCCGACGCTCCAACTGCTGAGCCAAACTGGCCAGGGCAGATTATTATTTTTCTTTATTGATTTTTCTGGGTTGAAAATCACTTCTTTCTGGGTATAAGTTCTATGTATTGCATATACTTTCTCCCACTGTATTGTTTGCCTTTTTACTCATTTAATGGTGTGTTTTTGATAAATAAAAGTAATTTTAATACATTCCAGTCTTTTCCATAGGTTTTTTGACCCACAACCATTCATTAAATTAAAATGACCATCTTTTCCCACCATTCTGCAGAGCCACTTTTGTCATAAATTAAGTTTCCATATATGCTTGGAAGCTGTTTCTGAGATGTTGATATTGTTCCTTTGATCCCTTCATCTATTCTTGCACTAGTGTCCACACTCTTTAATTACTGTTAACTTCATAACAAGTTTTTATATCCTTACAAATCTTGTCATTTTAATTCTTCTTTGTTAAGAGCATATTGGCTTTTCTTTGTACTTCATCTCTCCGAATTCATCTAAGGCAACTCACTGACCTAGAATCTTGGTTTAACTTAACACACAGTATGTACCAGCTTGTAGTATTTTAAAATACAGACAACATAACACCAGTGTCCCAGCTGAGGAGGGTGCAGCTGCCTCCTAGGTGCAACTGGTCCCATGAACCAAGCAGGCTTTGCGAGACTGTAGACTGGATGAGATTAGATAAATTTGGTGTGAGAAGGTAGTGAAGGCCCAGAAATTGACACCTAATTCCACCTCTTGGGCTTTAGCATCATTCTCAGGAAGGAAATGGAGAGACTTGTGAACCTAAGGATGTCTCTTGTTCACTATTCTATTTCAGTGTGGTGTACAGTGGGCATTTAATAAATGTTTATTAAATGAGTGAATATGTGTATATAATATAGGCCACTCAGAAAACATTATATATAGCCATGAGTTTCATTTTTTGCTTTAGATGCTAATAGCCTGTGAGATTTTACCATTTCATGGTTTTGCATATTTCTGTTTTGTCTTACATACATTACATTGAGTGTTTTTGGAAATAAATGCATGGATTTTTTAATGTTGAATTTAGTGATTACCTATCAGTGATTCTAGAAATGTTTTGACTTTCTATACCTCTAAATAGAATTAACTTGCAAGTTCCTTAGGAAGTTCATATATATTATAACTCATTTTGAAGTTATATCCAGATTCTCATATTTTGAAATACTCAAATTGTATGGAGAAATTCCAAAGTTGTTATCATAAGTTTCTCCATTTTGATTTTCATTTACTTCTTGAAAAGACAGATGTAGTTGATAGGACTTACATAAAGTACATGTTTATTAGTTTTCTGCCCTAAATATTAAAATTCTCTGTTTTTTAATGCAGATGTAGAATTAGAAGAAGCTATTAGAAGAAGCCTTGAGGAAATGTAATTAAAGATATAACCACCCAGCATCAAGTAGCCTTGAAGATACTCAGGATAATGAATTCTTGAATTTGTTTTCTAAAGAAGGCCAGCAATGTACTAACTAGTACAGATGTATTTGAAACCTGCCTTTTTTTTTTTCTTTCTTTCTCGTGTTCAGAATTTTATATTTGCTTTGTATTTTTGTGCTCTTTTACAAAAATGTACAGAGGAATAAAATACATGTTAATGCAAATATATAAATCATGTATTCTATTAGAGGTATGATGGTTTCCCAGTTAACTTGGAATTCATATATTTAGGTTAAAAGAATTAAAAAATAGAAAAGCTCTTGACTATTGTTATGTTTCCTAAGTAGCATTATTTCTTTATTTGTACTATACAGATGGTTCTAGTTGTTTGTTCTTGGTTTTGTTTTTTTTAAGTAGTGAAAATGAATATAAATAAAGCTGTCAGAATAGTTTTTCTGTAAATTCTACTTCTCATGTAGGGCTAATATATGTATATAATAACCTTTGAGGTCTTTATGATTATTAGAAGAGAGTAATGGAAACTCATCATGGAATCAGTGTAAAAGTTTTACCAGCAATGAATGTTCTCCATGGGTTTCACTCAGATGTGTATTCCTGCTTTAATTAGAGCAGCGCATTGCTGGAATAAAAAGAATACTCAGATTTCTTTGAAATAATTAAAAAGAAACCTTTTTTATTCCTTTTACCTGCTTAGACTTTTATGTGACACTTATTATCTACTGTTTAAAGGGAATAGTGTCAAAATATATTTGCATAGAATTAAATTTTTAATAATATTAGTCCTTTACATATGTGTAAACATAATCTTTATAAAAATAATGTTCTAGGTCTACTCAGGAATAATCTTCCTTAACCCTTTAAATTTTTTATTTCATATGTAGTATTTTCATTTTAGTTATTCATTAAATTGTTTTTCAGTTTCCTATATTTCATATTATATATATATATACACACATATTCAGTTTTTAAATGTTGAGGCCCCATTGTGAATAATTAAAAATGTTACATAATTAGACTAAGAAGGGCTTGTCATACTATCTTTGTGTATATGCTTCATGTTATTTGACCAGAAATGTTATTCCAAAATTTTTTAGTAGTAATTGCTTACCAAACTGAACATTTTAAGAAAAGAATCATGGCTAGAATTTTGTTCTTTTTCTGCAATTGCATATTTTAGTGTGAAATAGCATTGCTGTAGTTTTTTTTATTAGTATAGTTTTTTCAGTTCACATTGGAAATCAAGTGTTTGTATTACTTAAGATGTCAGGTCTATTCTGCCTGCTTGTATATATATTTTTAAGTAGACATTATAGCTTGAGAATTTACCAGTAATTTTTTCAAAATGACCACATTGCACTTTTAATTTGTATGTTAATGTGGTCAAGTAAGGCCTTGGGAGATAGTCACTGAGCCAGACCTCGTAGACAACTGAAAGAGCTTTCACAGCAGTGAGGAGCATAAAGGCCATTCCAGAAAGAGAGTGGTTAAGCAGACACCGGAAAGAGGAAACAACTCCTCTGTGCCAGAGGTGTGAGGTGCACCGATGCTCTGTAAGAAGCTTTCGGAGTATATGTGACAGAGTGTGACTGACACTTTTCATCATGACCCTTAAAAAAGTAACCGAGCCCTGGCCGGCTTTGTTCAGTGGTTAGAGCATCGGCCTTCAGTCCAGACAGACCCGGGTTCAGTTCCCGCTAAGGGCGCATACCTCGGTTGCAGTTTGTCCCTGGTCCTGGTTGGTCGTGCGGATGGCAGCCACTCATTGTGTCCCTTTCACGTGGATGTTTCTCTCTCTCTCTTCTTCTCTCCCTCCCACTCTATCTGAACAGAAAATGGAAAAATGCCCTTGGGTGAGGATAAAAATAAATAAATAACTGAGTTGTTTAATATTTTAATTAGTTGTCACTGATTGTGTTTCTACTTGTTAAGCAATTAAAAATAATTTTGAAGTTATTTTATACTTTGAATGCAATCTAGATACAAGGGGAGAGATGTAATCAATGGATGACATTACAGAAAGTTATATGGATAACCAAATTACTAAAGTAAATGTTTCTAACATTGACAAAGATTCTTATCTTTTTGTTTTATCATTTATCCATTCATTCACTCACAAAGTATTTATTGAATATTTGCCATGTGCCAGCAACTGTTCTAAGCGCTTGAGATATACCAGTGAGCAAAACAAACCCACTCTGTGGAGCACTCATTGGAGAGGAGGTTGGATAGAGTGTTAGATAATAAGCAAGTGTATTCAATGGGGATAGGTGTAATGAAGGAATATAGGGAAAGGAAAGATAATGTGGGGTGGGGGCAAGGGGGATTTATTTTTAATGGGGTAGTCTGAAAGGATCCTGACCACATGAACTTGAAAAAAGACCTGAAGAAGTTGACAGTGAGCCATGCAAATATGTCTGAGGAAGAGAGTGCCAGATGGAGGGTGTAGATATCTGGAAGCCAGTTTGATATATCCTTGGAAAAGCAAGAAGGCTATTGAGAGTAATAAAGTCCCTGAGGCCTTTCTAAGGATCTTGGTTTTTACTCAAATGAGGAGCCACTGAAGGTTTCTGAGAATTGTGTGAACTGCTTTATTTAGAATGATTACTGAAGTTACTGCAGTGAACATACTGAGAGGCAAGAGTAGTAGTAGTTACACCAGACAGGAGGGTAGTATGGTATCATCCAGGCGTGAATTGGTGGCTGGGACCAGGTTGGTGGCAGCGAAATTCGGAAGACAAATTTGGATATATTCTGAAGGTAGAGCTGGGGATTTGCTTATGGATCGTATCTAGTATATGAGAAAAAGAGTGTAGCATAATAATAAAATTACTTGATACTTTTAAACCATTCTCAAAATATCCTTGAATTCCAAGTTTATGTCATGATATAACAAAATGTATTTAATGAGGTCAAGTAATCCCATACACCAGGAGTTTATTAGCATTCAGATGAAGGTCTGAGGGAATTGGGTTCCAGTTTAAGGGCCTCATCTCTGTTAAAGTATTTAAATGGCTTTGATCTCAGATGAAAGGTTGTGATTCAGCTTTAAATTGATGACCTATCATTCTATGCCCTGTACACTCTCATCCTTACAACATGAAGCACGTAGCTATAATGAGATGGGAGCAAATCGCAAGTTTTCAGCGTACTCCCAGCCCCACTGCACTTTTACTGACTTCGTGGCCTACTGCATCTTTTCATTCTTAACAGATTTATATAAATGGGGTGTGAAATGGCCTTAATAAGTACCAGTTATTGCACTCAGATTCCAACAATAACTTTTTAATAGGAAAAACCTCATAAAAAAATTCCTTCATTAGAACGGAGTAAATTCACCTTCCTACATCCAACTGGAAAGAAAGTTGGGTAGACCTTTCTTCCCCCCTCTTCCGTCGGGGTGCTAGGCAGGCTGTCATTCTCGTTCAGCAACGTGGTGACAGGGCAGGTCCGGCAGGTCGGCGGGTACGGACCGCCTCGGAGCTGTACTTCGGTGCCTCTGATCCCCAATGGGGCCTGTCTCCGCGGACACAGGGACTCCAACGCGTTTTGTGTGTGTGGTTTGTTGGTTTTTTTTGCTGTGAATTATGGGAGCTGGGAGAGACCCGGCGAAGCCGTGAGAGTCACACACCCACGGGTGCCGTTAGGTCTCCCGCGTGAGCCGGCCGCGCCGGGTCGGGGTCGGGGTCGGGGCCTCGGGGTGGGGCGCGTCTCCCGCCGCGGGGGTTCCAGGGCCGGTGGAGCAGGCCCCGCCCCTCCTGCGCCGCCCGCCCCGGAGCCCCGGACGCCCCGGAGCCCCGGACGCCCCGGCTCCGCTCCGGCCCAGTCCCCCGCCTGCGCCGAGCCGCGGGGCGGTGCGCCTGCCCTTGTTTGGCGGCGGTGGCGGAGTCTGCTGCTCCGGGGCCGCCCCCTGCAGGCGGGCGTCAGAGGGAGGCGGGAGCCCCGCGGTGACCGCGACGCCTGCCGCCGCCGGAGCCTCCACTCGCCGCCGCGGAGAGGCCGTGACCTCCTGGCCGCCCGCCTCGGAGGCTCAGATGGCCCAGGCGAAGATCAACGCGAAAGCCAACGAGGGCCGCTTCTGCCGCTCGTCCTCCATGGCCGACCGCTCCAGCCGCCTGCTGGAGAGCCTGGACCAGCTGGAGCTCAGGTGAGGCCGGGCGGGCGGCTTCTGGGGGCTCCCCGTCCTGCCCCGGGAGACGCGGCGGGTGTCCGGAGCCCGGAGCGCCCCGCGGGCGGCCACGTGCGCGCCCGACCGAGCTTTGGGAGCCCCGGGAAATCAGAGATAGAAGTGACGTCATGGGAGATGAGGGACGGTGGCAGCGCGGATCTGCAGAACTTCCAGAACCTTCTGGGGGCCGGCACGGCCTGCCCAAGCCTTTCCTGCCCAAACTTACTCATAGCTGCTGTGCGTCTGTCAGAGGCGGCGGCGGCGCGGTCCTTGACGGGACGGTCCGGTTCTGTGCCCGGGACACTTCGGAGCAGAAACTAAGAATCCAGGAGCCCATCCGAGAGCGAGGCGGAGAGGGGACCAGGGCAAGTGGGGGGCCGCGGGGGCCGCGGCTGGGTGCTTGGTGGAACCACGACACCTTAGCCCCGGCTCCCCCCAGTCCTGCCCCCGGTCCTGTGAACCTCCCAGTGTGGTTGGGTAGCTCCTTCCATTGAAGACGCCCTGCTGACACCTTCAAAACGCTGTCACTGGCCTGGGAGGATAAGTTTCTCCCTGTTAACTGATCACGAACTTACTAATGTAGCACTAGGCTTATCTAGCATTTCCAAGTCAGATTAGATTTTGGAAATACGTATTTCCTTGAGCAGTGTACGCAAACTTTTAGCGGCTTCCTGTACGCGTTTACGTCACTGAAGCTACTGCCCAGTTGTGCGCAGGTGTAGTCGGATGCACATCTCACGGAGGCGCCCACCACCCCGGGGACGACGCAGAAGTTTGCCCGTAGGTCTCACCAGGCTCTGGGTGGACAAAGGAGAATGTGGGCCAAGAAGTTTAAGACACGTGGCATTATGTCTTGATCTCCCTGGGCGAATCCACCAGAACAAGGAGAGGTGTGCATTTTCCAAGGCAGTGCATTAATAACCACCGTGTAGCTTAGCAAATGAGGCATTAGTTATTACTACCCCCAGAAAGAAGTCAGAGCATGAGAAAGTCTTCACCCACAATGATTTCACAGATGGCAGTAGTTAGAGAAGCCTGAGCCAAAACCACTTTCTGGGGTTCTGGTGAGAATGAGAAAGAAATGAAAACCAGAACAAGAGAAAAGTAATGCTTCTCCTTTACTTTAACATTAACAGTTTTGCATCAACCCCAGAGAAAGCGGATCAGAACTAGGGATCAGTGGCCTCAGCTACCTCACGTCCCTCTGAAGAACATTTCGTTCTGTGTAGCAGCAGCATAACAAGTAACTGACACGTACCCCCGGGTCTTTAGAACTTTGAGGGCCTGTTCTCAACCATTTCAGGGTTCTCTCCCCCCTAATCAGAAAGAAGGGATTTTTCCTCATAGGAATGAGGGTGTTGCCCCTCCTTCTTCAAGCTGAGTCATTGTCCTGAAACTTGAACTAATGCCTCGTGTGCGGCAGGTACCAAAGAAGTCAGGTCCACCGTTGGTTGGAGCATCCTCCAGTACACCGATAGGTAGCAGGTTGGATTCCTGGTCAAGGTGATTGCCCAGGTTGCCGGTTCGATCCCTGGTACATGTGGGAAGCTACCCAAGATGTTTCTCAGTCACATTCATGTTTCTCTCTCTTCCACTCTCTAAAATTTTTTAAAAAGTCAACTTCTCATCTCTAAAAGCCTCTGGATTTGAGTTTATTATAGTCTAATGTTGACTAATGTAAAATGAATTCTGATTACTCTATACAGGTGAATAAACTATAACTTATTTTTTTTTTATCCTCACCCAAGGATATGTTTTTTGTTTTGTTTTAAAATTGATTTTTAGAGAAAGAGAAAGAGAGTGGGGTGGGGGGGCATCAATCATTTGCCTCCTGTGTGCAAACCCCAACCAGAGATTGAACCCATAACTTTTTGGTGTACTGGACAGTGCTCCAACCAACTGAACCACCCAGCCAGGGCTAAACTATAGCTTTCTTAATTAACCCTTGAGCTGAGGAGGAAAGACTGATTAATATGTGTTGAATTGCTCATTATAAGGACTTTTCTTATAATTTTAGACTTTTTAAAGCTTTGTTTCTTTCTTTAAAAGAAGAGTAATTAAGCCCTGTCTGGTTTGGCTCAGTGGTTAGAGCATCAGCCCGCGGACTAGAGAGTCCCGGGTTCGGTTTCTTCTAAGGGCACGTACCTCAGTTGCAGTTTGTCCCCGGCCCTGGTTGGGTTGTGTGGGTGGCAGCCATTCGATGTATCCCTTTCATGTTGATGTTTCTCTCTCTCTCTCTTCCTCCCACTCTATCTGAACAAAAAATGGAAAAATGTCCTCAGGTGAGGATACAAAAAGAAAAATGCTAATGCTCATCCACTCAGGTTTATTTGAAGCCACATGGGCAGAGTCACAGAGCACTACACTGTTAAAAACTAGAATCATGGCCCTGGCCAGTTTGGCTCAGCGGTTAGAGCGTCGGCCTGCGGTCCGGAGAGACCCGGGTTCGGTTCCCGCTAAGGGCACGTACTTTGGTTGCAGTTTGTCCCCGGCCCTGGTTGGTCGTGCGGGTGGCAGCCACTCGATGTGTCCCTTCACGTCGATGTTTCTCTCTCTTTCTCCCTTCCTCTCTCTCCCTCCCACTCTATCTGTACAAAAAATGGAAAAATATCCTCGGGTGAGGATAAAAAAACAAAAACAAAAACAAACAAACAAAAAAAACTAGAATCATGCCTAGAAGGTGAATTTTTAAAAGAAAACATGATATTCATATGTAATTCATTTCTAACATTTTACCATGACACTAGCTTGTCTTTTTTGACTCCTCCTAAATGAGATTCCTTTATCTCCTGGTTTTCATTACCAGTTCTAAATGGTGTCTTTCACATTCATTGGTGGCTCAAAACACCTTGCTTAATTTATCATAATTATAAATAATACATGCTAACATTTATTCATGTGATAAGCACTGACTATAGGCCAGGCCCCATGCCTTTGTGGAAGTTATGAAACCAAGGGACGGTGTTCGGGTCCGGGTTCATTGTCTTGTTAAGTCAAAGAATGAGTTCATGGACAAAGTGCAAGTGAAAGAGAAGTTTATTTGAAAGACAGTCTCCCCGCAGTGGGGGAGGGACCCCAGTGCGTTGCCTGTGGGGTTCCATTGTCTAGGGGTACATATATACCTCACTAGCCTCCAGTTGGTTCTTTCAAACAATTCTGCCTCAGCAACATCTGTACATTTTAAGGTTCGTGTTTTTCCGCCGAGCTGGGTTCAGCTCTAAATCACCTTGTTATCCCCAGGTAATCTCCGCAGGCAAGCTGCATCCTGTCAGTGTTTACAAGGTCCTCTAGCTTGTTTCCCTTCCTGTGATCTTGTCCCTCACTGCCAGCTTGCCCCTTTTTCCTCGTTATTACCTCCATTCTCCAGATGGGAAATTGACTTGAGAACTTCAACGTCTTGTCTAAGGGCACAAAGCTAGAACCCAGGAAGGCTGGCTATAGAGCTTAATACTTTATTACTAGTTTTCTTAAATGTGTTGTATTTTACAATGTGGGAATAGTATAAGGATGAATGTGCGATTTTACTGAAAGAGGTGAAAATGCCATTTAACTAGGCATTTGCTTCAGTAAATATTGAATCCCCGCTCTGTGCCAGGTGTTGAGTGGTTCCTCCTAGGCTCGATGGTAGGAGGATGGGACATGGGTTGTGGGGGATGGCACAGGGGGACATGGCAGGGCAGGAGACTGGCTGTTCACAAGTTTCCCCAAACTGATTGTACTGTGGCTCTTTCCCGTCTTATCAGCCCTTCGCAGTGGCTCGCACGGAGGGCGGGGTGAGTGAAGGGGCATGATGTGGACATTCTTCTGGCTGGAGGGTTCCTGTTGCTTCGAGCTTCTTAGGGTGTGCCGGTGTCCCAGGAGTCGTAACACAAGATGGCACCACAGTTAATGTTGTATAATAGCCTATAATTTAAAAGGGCACTTTTCATAAACATTGTGATTTGAACCTTACAAAACTCTTTGAATAGGAGGGCAGATATGGTCTCTTGTAGAAATGAGGGAACCGAGGTCCAGAGGGACCGAGTGGCTCACCTGCGGCCACACTCCTCCTGAGTAGCTCCTCACGCTAAACACCAGCCCCATTTTTACACCAAAGTGTCTCGGTAGTGAATATAATTTAATATTTTGGTTGTGATGAGGAAAACCCTTTAAAAATCTTTCATTGCCTAAAATATGAGTAATCATTGTAGTATTCTTTTGATACAAGGGTACTGTATAAGTGGACTATGATTTTAAGTACCTGTTTTGGAAATGATTTCTTTCAAATAAAATCCATGAGAGGAGCACTTGCCATTCTCACTCCTTTTTATGAAAACACAAATTCTTGTTACTTGTAAGCCCAAGTTCATGTGTGCCAGCAAGCGTCCTGGGCCCATGACACATATTAACTCGGGTATATATGTTTTTAATTGCTGTCGTCACTGTGTTAAATTGTTTACCAGCTTTACTTCGTTCGATCACAACCACCATCTCCTCATCCTGTTTCATAGATGAGGAAAATTGAGGCGAGGGGAGTTTCAGGAACAGCTCCGGGCTTGACCAGCTGGACGGGAAGCCATTGCGATGTCCGCTGTGTGCGGCGTATGTGACACAGGAGCAGCCAGTCTGGTGAAGTAGCTGTTGGGTCTCTTCTCAGTCTCCCAACAATTTGTCTTTTGATACCCAGACTGCAAGGACTTGTGAGGTGCTGGAGACCAGAGGACCAGCTGAGGATGATATTCTGACTACAGTTGTGTGTGTGTGTGTGTGTGTGTGTGTGTGTGTGTGAGTCTGCTTAGTTGTGATCTCATGCAGAGAGTTTTCCAGAACAGCCCAGGCCAGCCTTGATGTGAGGATAAGTTCTTTCCCAATTTGGACTTGTAGCTGCTTCCAGGATCTGTTAGTAAAAACAGAACTGCCCCTCTCCGCCAAGAAAAGTGCTGTCAAATGATGTGTTAAAAAATAACAAACCATGAAGGATAAAGTGAGATGGTCCAACATTTGCTAGCCAGAGTTCCAGAAGCAAATAATGGAATAGAGGACAAGGAATATTCAAAGATATAATGGCTAACAATTTTCTAGAAGTAATGGAAAGGGTAGACCAAAAGATTATATGAGTTGGATTTAAGGGTACCAATAGCTGATAAGCAGTACAAATATTACTTTAACAAGCTAAGGAGAGATCTAAGTACAGCTTTTTAAAAGAAAAAAAAAAGAAAAACAGTGTCATCCATACAATAGATGTACAGTAGTGTAGAGGGAGCATTGATTGCCCCAAGGGAGAGGAGGTGGGAGTTGTTAGGGAAACAGTTCCTGCCAAAGGGTTGGGTTTGGAAAAACTTTGACCAGTAGGTGAGGGTCAAGGATAAAGAATGCTGCAGAAGAGGGAATAGCATATGGAAGGTCACGGATGCCAAAGATGAAACAGAAACCCTTGGTTCTGAAGAATGGCATTTTACCTTTGCTATGATATGAAAACATATGTAAAAAGTTCTGTAAAAGATTAAATCTGTTTTCCACAGGGAAAATGCCCTGTTAATTTCTAGCCTGGGGACAGGGGGTGCTCCATAAAAGTTCCATCTAATTTCCTTTATATTTGGTCTCATTTAATAACAAAATACTTCTTCGTATAACAGATTATATTTTTCCTAGAATGTCTCCTTTTAAACCGTTTTTTGTTAACAACACCACAAACTTATTGTTGAAACTTAACTGTTGTAAATGAAGCCTCCTTCTTTAGAATACCTTTCAATTCTTTATCATCTTACATTTGAATACAAACTCAAGTGTTAAAAAATTAATCTCTTCTTTCAGCATCTTCTCATTTATCAATCACATGGTTCATCTGTGTCATTTAAATACTCGAGTTATGGTTCATGCTTTTAGCATAAATATTCTGACTACACATATCAGTGCCAACTCAATCTATTTCATATGTCCTGGGTCCTAGTTTTCTAAGAGTTTGCAGATGTAAAATGTGTAAGCTCATCATGGTGCTACAAGAGGACCTGATATGCATTATTCCTATTTTATATAGATTATTAATTTTGATTGTATTTTCTAGCCAAATTTTTTATATAGTAAGATTCTTACCAGCTCTTTACTTTTACTGGCTCTTATAATCACAAAGTCCAACATATATTTAGTATCTTGATGAATGAAGAGACCCTGTGACTTTACTGCTTATGAGTGCTATTTTGGGGCATAACAGGTGGGTGACTGTTGGGGGAAAGGCATATGTGTGGTTGGGGTGAGGGGGGGGATCCTTATATGGAACGGACACGTGCTAAAGCATTGGTGAGGCTGTTCCTTCTGTGACCGCTTAAGGCAACAGTCAGGATTAGACTGTGATCTTGGGTTTCTAAGACCATCTGAATACTGGAAAAGTTGGCAACTTAGTTGTGGTGTAATATAAAGGAAGAAAGCGCCCTGCAAACAGAGCACTTTAAATATACAGGGTTTCTTGTCCTTGCTCTCATGACCCCACAGCCTAGTTCTTTAGGGACTGGGTATGTTCATGTGTATGGGCAGTAATAACTACGTGAGTGTGCGTAGTTGGGGGAGTCGGGGAAAGTAGTATTTCTGTGGTTTTGTCACGGCTCTACAGCAAACCCTGCAGAGGCCCTCCCTTTAAATTCCAGAAAAGGCAGAGATGCCCTCTCTTACCACGGCTGTTTAATACAATACCAGAGGACTTTAGTCAGTACTATATAAAGAAAAATGGAGCTAACAGCCCTGGCGGAGTAGCTCAGTTGGTTAGAACACCACTCCAGTATGCCAGCATCGTGGGTTCAATCCCCAGTCAGGGCACTTACAAGAATCAACCAGTAAGTGCATGGACAGGTGGAATGACAAACTGATTCTCTCTCCCTCTCTCTTTCTCTCTCTCCCTAAAATGAAAAGCAGGAGCTGACAGCATTGAAAAGGAAGAGATAAAAACTATCATTTTCTGATTATCGATCTAGAAGAACTGCTGTGGCAGGAGTGGCGCCAGGTCTGACTGACCCTGGCTTCAGCAACCTCAGTTCTTGAGTTTTGTTTGGCTAGGAAAGAATTCAGAGCCAACACTTAAACTATGAGAGAACATTTAATTATAAAATCACAGAGGTGGAAGAATTCATAGAAGAAATGGGCTGAGGAAACAGATTATAGAGGCGATGGAGGGCCCTTGGAGCTTAGAAGTGAGAAAGGTACAGGCGACATGCTGCGGGGACAGGGGGTGAGGGGGAGGGAAAGGTGCAGGTGTGCCCCCAGGGGGGAGAGCGGCTGGGTCCTCTGTCCTAAGGGTTCTGAGGGCGGAGATTTTAGGGGAGGTCCCAGGGGAGGATCTCAGAATATTCAACAGCTTTCCAGGTGTGTCTTTCAGGGTGTGTGGGGGGTCATTTCATTATTCAATGCAGCTAGTCCTGAGGTCAGCCCTGGGGTGGTGTTGCTTGTCTGCTGTGTTGCTTTTCTGGACCTGGAGAGATGTCACCCTGGGGACTAGGTCCCACCCTACATTTGTCCTTTGCTAGCCAGACCTTCTGTTTCTGGCTCATTGTCCTTGTTCTGCTTATGTCTGCCTAACTGCCTACCACAGAACCAATAGAATCAAAATACAAACCCATTCAAATTAAGTATAAGTCATGGTTGCCAGTTACAAGAGGAACCTAAAAAAAGCAGCATTTCTCTAACCAGAAATAACCAACTAGGAAATATCATTAAAAATGTATTATTCACAATAGCAAAATGTATTATCCACAAAGTGTCTAGAACATTCAAGTCCACAAGACTGCCATTAAGAATACTCATCATGCCCTGGCCAGTTTTTCTGAGCGGTTAGAGCGTCAGCCCACAGAGAGAGTCCTGGGTTCGGTTCCCGCTAAGGGCACATACCTCAGTTGCAGCTTGTCCTTGGCCCTGGTTGGGGTCATGTGAGTGGCAACCAGTCGATGTTTCTCTCTCTCTTCTTCCCTCTCTCCCTCCCGCTCTATCTGAAGATAAATGCAAAAATGTCTTTGGATGAGGATAAAAAAAAGAATACTCATCACAAGACAACATCACTACTGACATGCAGCTCCAAGTAGTGGCTCCCGAAATAAAATAAAATAAAAATAAAAGAATACTTCAAAACTCGAATAAAGAATATAAACAAGGATCTGAATAAATGGAGATATATCATGTTCTTGCATGGAATGCCAATATTAGAAAGATGTCAAATTTACCTCAGTTTATTAAAAAAACCAATACACTTTGGAGCTTCTATGGAGGAATAAAAGTCTAAATAGCCAGGTTTTCTTTAAAGAAGATTAGGGGACTTTTCCAACCAAATATTAAGGCATATTATGAGACTGGTGCTATTTTTAATTTATTTTTAAAAAGATTTTTAAATTGCTTTTTAGAGAGAGAGAAAAGGAGAGGGAGAGAGAGAAACATAGATGTGAGAGCGAAACATTGATGGGCTGCCGCACTCCCCCTACGAGGACCAAGCCCAAAACCCTGCCATGTGCCCTGACCAGAAATCCAACCTGCAACCGTTCAGTGCCCGGGCGATGCCCAACCATCTGAGCCACACCAGCCAGAGGAGCTGCTGTTTTTTTAAAGTGGGTGTTTGTGTAAGAACAGTCAAATGGAATAGAGATTTCAGAGGTAGACCACTGGGGGAATGATGGATTTTTGGTAGATAATATTGGAGAGAATGGTTTACTATTGGGAGAAAAATAAAACACCTTTACCTAACTACATACAATTAACTAGATGAGTGAAGATGTAAATAGAGTTCTGGCCAGGTGGCTCAGTTTGTTGGAGCATCATCCCATACACAAACACACACACACACACACACACACACACACAGGTGTGTGGGTTTGGTTTCTGGTCAGTATCATGCAGGAGGCAACTGATCGATATTTCTCACATTGACCCTCCCTCCCCCATTCTCTCACTCTCCCTTCTTCACTCTCTACAAATCAATAAATATATCCTTGGTTGAGGATTTTTTTTTAAAGATATAAATAGGATAAAGGTAAAACGATAGATTTAACAGAAGGAAATGTAGGTGAACATCTTATGACCTAGGGATGGGGAAGACCCTGAAACAAATTTCAAAAGCATAAACCATAAGGCAAAACACAACCACAAAAAGATGAATTTAATCACTTTAACATAAGGATTTCTGGCCCTGGCCGGGCATGTACCTCGGTTACAGTTTGTCCCCAGCCCTGGTTGGGTCATGCGGGTGGCAGCCACTCGATGTGTCCCTTTCACATCAATGTTTCTCTCTCTCTCTCCCTCTTCCTCTCTCTCCCTCCCACTCTGTCTGAACAAAAAATGAAAAAATGTCCTTGGGTGAGGATAAAAAAAATAAAATAAAATAAGGATTTCTATTCAGTGAAGAATATCCCAAAGTTCATATATGATAGGATGAGAGAAGATTGTTGCATCGTCTGTAACCAACAAGGGCTTAGTACCTTGAGTATGCAAATCAACAAGAGGACAGCAATACCTATTTAAAAAAGAAAATAGGCAAAGGCTATGAATAGGATAATAAGGATTCAAAGAGATGTCCAAAATTATAAATGAGATAAATGTAAATTAAATGTTGAACTATCACTACCTTACTAGACTGCAAGTAGTTAGAACTGGAAAAGGCTGAGTCCTGGTAGGCTGTGTGGATGTGGGGACGCTGTGCTTTGCTGCCAGGAGCGTGGTCTGCTGTAGCCGTTCTAGAGCAGCCCTACACTGAGCCACAGTGACGGCACACATACCCTTTGTCTGTGTTCTGTCCCGGGAGATATCCTACGGGGATTCTCGTTCAGGTCCTTATGGGACATGTATTCACTGAAACGTTACTGTGGTGATGAATAGCTGAGGGACGGGGGGAGGGTCTCCGCTGGCAGAGTGGAGGTAAAGCAGGTGTATGTACATGTGGAGTACATACGATTAGAAGCTACTGATTAGATGTACATGGAGGGACCTGGATGGTTCTTAATAAAATACTGCTGAGAGTGAGATACAAATGGAAAATATATGAATATACAAATACATATTTTGCAAGAACAAACAGATAATCACTAAATAGAATGCCCCGTAAGCAGGGAGGAAAACGGGAGTGGGACAAGCGGATTAGCAAGGAAAGAAAAATGAAAAAATAAAAAGGAATAAAGACTTTGTGAAAACTGTTCCTAATAACCTTTAAACTCGAGTTGAATGATAGAAAGATGAAGACTATTAATCTTCCATGTAGTAACTGCTGTGCTTCCCGATTTATACAGGGTGGAAGCTTTAAGAGAAGCAGCAACTGCTATTGAACAAGAGCGAGAAATCCTCCTGGAAATGATCCACAGCATCCAGAACAGCCAGGACATGCGGCAGATCAGCGATGGTGAGCGCTTTCCCCACCGCCCTGGACTCGTCCTTTACCCCTGGGGCTCATGATGAGCCTGGGTCAGTTTTTGCTTGACGTGTAGCGTGAGTACCCCAGGTGTCAGCACTGAAGCTGAGCGTCAGCAGCAGCTGCAGCTTCAGTTCATTACAAGAGCCTCTCTCCCGGAGACCATTCTTCCACTGTGCTCCCCAGCCCAGGCCAGAGTGAGGGGGAGGCCTGCGAGCTCCTCTGGCAGAAAAGCTGGCCCCAGACAATAAGGCCAAGTACAGAACCTCAGTTCTATAGAAGTTACTGGAATGTAGATGTAAACGCAGAGGGAAAGATGAGAGGGGATGGGGCAAAATGCAGAGAAAGTAAATTATAGACCCAATGAAACCCCATTAATGTAAAAATGTCCTGTCATTTTCATATGAAAAGCATGACTGTGATTTTCTTTCATTAGCAATGGCCTTCACAGGACAAGCTAGTGGGCCCGGTCCTGGTGCATAAATGTGCAGCCTAACTCCGGAGTCCACAGTGCAGTCAGATCTAGTCTGTCTCTTCACCATCCTGGCCAAAGACCAACAAATTAGGAAGGAAGTTGCAGAACAAGTCAGACAGGGGATTGGTGACTTTTTCATATAAATAATAAAGTGTTGACAGAGCCCTTTTTCCCATCACTGCCTCTACGTGCTGGCCAAGACTTAGACCACTGGCATCTTAAATTTGTCTTGATGGGCTGGAGTGGATGCCTGACTTTGAGGCCAGCTTTTCTCCACTGTCATGGCTGTTTTCTCAGCCCAGACTGGGGCATTGCGCTCTGATAAAATGCAGAGTGTGCCCCCTCCCCCCCCCAAAAAAAACACGCCTCTTTGGCATAAGGATATTTTGAGCTGATTGTTTTTGAGAAACTGCAAAAACAAGAGAAGCTCTAAAAACAGAGAAGTTACCCTTTTGTAAAATAAATATACATTTATAAAGTAAATTTCCATTTGTAAGGGTGTCTCCCTTTCTGTAAATCACAAGAAACTCTTATCAATGGAGAAGGTAGCCACTGTGGTTAAATCTTAACATTTACTATGCTTTTCCTGGTAACCTCCAGTAACTGGCTTCCTTCCCTCCCTAACATCTTTCATCTTCAGCTGAAGATGGTATTTAAGGTGGTGACTTGAGCCATCTGGGAGAGTTGTCAGTTTCTCATGTATACGTGAGGTATACATGTTAATAAACTTTTGTTTCTTGTTAATCTTTTATTACAGGGGTTCTCAGACAAGAACTCAGAAAGGTAGAGTGAAAATTATTTTTCCTCCCCTACATGCACATCCCTAACCCTAAACACTACAAAACTCTAGTTTTGTTCACTCTTCACTCTGTGGTAAGACCTAATCTCCACCCCAGTTACAGACACATCCCTGCCCAGACTTCCACAAACACGGCAACTTGGGAAGTCGTCTGGTATTCATGTATACAGACCTTCAAGAAAAGGCATTCTACAGTGCCCTCTGTCATCTGGTACACTTCGTCATTTGATCGTATTGCTATAGTTTTAACTTTAACCCTTAGAAAATTCATAGCAGAGGTGATTACAGAAAATAGATTTAGCCACAGTGAATGTTAGTGTTTATGATGTTAGTGGAGGAAAAAATATTTCTCTACCTTTCTAGATCCTTTTGGCTGGTTTAATAGTTAAAATCGACATGAGACAGATTAACAACAGAAAAATAACCAAATTTAATTACATGCGTACATATGGGAATTGACATACCTGAGAGTCAGAGACACGCCCTACCCCCCAACACAAGAGGTTTAGAGACAGGTAAGATGAGGTACACGTGACAGTGTGAGCTGCGGCATGAGACAGGGCGTCTGGGCTAGAGGGGAGGAGGGAGATTCACAGGACGATAAGAAGAGCAGAAGTTCAGTTATTAAAAGTTTGTCCTGCCCTATGGTTGGATCATAGAAGTTATCTCTGGTAATAACTCTTACTATGAGCAAGACCACTAATTTAAATCTTTAAGGGAGAAGAAAGAGTTTCTCATGAACCCTCAGGGTCTCAAGTGCCTTCAGCTCAAAATAATTCATCTTCCAATGTAGCACATCTTGTTGAGGCCTGTTCTGAACCCCTTCAACACAGATAAGTTTGTGTCTCATATTGATTGATATTTCAAACTTTTTAGGAGAAAGAGAAGAATTAAATCTGACTGCAAACCGTTTGATGGGACGAACCCTCACTGTTGAGGTTTCAGTAGAAACAATTAGAAACCCTCAGCAGCAAGAATCCCTAAAGCATGCCACCAGGATTATCGACGAGGTGGTCAGTAAGTTTCTGAATGATTTGGGAAGTGCCAAGAGTCACTTGATGTCGCTGTACAGTGCGTGTTCGTCTGAGGTGCCACCTGGGCCAGTTGATCAGAAGTTTCAATCCATAGTAATTGGCTGTGCACTTGAAGATCAGAAGAAAATAAAGAGACGATTAGAGACTCTGCTTAGAAATATTGAAAACTCGGACAAGGCCATCAAGCTGTTAGAGCATTCTAAAGGGGCGGGTTCCGTAGCTCTGCAGCAGAACTCCGAAAGCAGATTTAATTAGTTTCCAAACCTAAGAGTACTTACAAACAATGACGTGAAAATGATAAAATACTATTTTAAGTGTTAACTAGTTCTTTATGTTAGGTATAACCACTCATTTGATACTGAAAGTTGTTTCAGATGATGAAAATATTCCAGTGTCATTAGTTTTGTGAATAACAATTAAAAGTAGAAATATTTTAATTATTTTCCTGTAAGTTTTTAGATTGAATTCTTGTCTTGTACTAGGATGGATACACACGCACACACACACACGCACACGCACATTTTTTACTATTCTGAGGATGAATGTTTTGTATATGTGGGGGAAGTAAATGCTTAGCTAGGGGCAAAAGAACCACTGTTCTCTCCTAGGCTCTGTGTGGTGTGGACACACGCGGGCACGTAAAGCGTTTGGTTGACTGAACGTCTTCACGCAGCAGCACACACATCTCGTGTTGGCCAAGCTGTGAGCTTACAGGGAGAGAGGAGTCACTCCGTAAGAACCTTTCCCTACATTCTCTCATTCAGAAGCTTTTTCAGACATGCATGTCAAATTATTTTGAACTTAAAGATTTACACATCTTATAATATGAATGTATTTCTTGATATACATGAAAATAGACAAATGTGAGAAAATTCACATCTGATTTTACCACTGTGAACTCTGTCCACTTCATCTTTTCCCAAATGCATCATTCCTCGAAAATGTTCATTGTTATGTAAATACAATGTTGTAACTTGCCTTTAAAAAATAATTAAATGCTGCTATAAAGTCCGCTTAAATTGTCAACTTAAAAACCTTTGACTTACCCAGTCCCTTACTAGACACATTTCCAATTTGTTGCCATTACTGCAACATATTTATGTACGTAGAGCTTTTTCCTTATTTTGTTTTTATTTTCTTTGTATAAATTCCCAGCAATGAGATTTATTATGTCAAAGGATCTATACATTTTCGTGGCCTGACATAATTCCAGGGTTTTTTGTGTAAGAGTTATATCAACTTATACTGTCATCAATAATTAAAATGTAGCTGTTTCACTGAAAGCTTCCGGCAGTGAGCGTTTCTTCTAACATGAGATGTGAAACACCTTTAGTTTGCATCTTGTTTGCGAACAAGGTTGACCAGTGTATTGCCTGTTCTTTTATCTGTAACAAATGAAGCTACTGTACAATACTTTTATTTATTATTAGTGTTATTGATACACAAAGCCCTCAACTTTCCCAAATACTGCAAAGCAAATATTTCAAATATTTCCAACTTGATTTTTTTATTAGCACATAAAAGTATTCTTTCACACTGGAAAACAGAAGTGAAGATCCAGGTATTATTTATTTATATCTCTATATATTTATACATCAATAAAAACAGTATTGAGCTTTGTTTCCTGGACAAACATGCCCGATTAGTCTCTCTCCATGAAGTGCGGTGAGTCTAACGCAGAGCTGGCTGCTTTGCAGCTCCAAGTCCGCCTCCTGTAGATCTTCCCGTTTCACAGCAAAAGCCTCTTCTCCTCGGTAACCATGGCCAACCCGCCTGACTAGTCAGCAGATTCTCATTTGCTGTTACCAGGCTCACTGTCAGATAAATATTTTTTGTGTGTGCAGTCTGTCAGCTTTTTTGAAAATTAAGAAACAGATGATCAAGTTTTCCTCAAGTTCTCAAGGACTGTCAGCACCTGTAAATCTTGTCCATGCAGAGAAGTGAGTATTCCCTCCCTCTTTCCATTGACTCCCATGTCCATCCCGGACCAAACCACAGCATGTCCCAGCTCTGCCTCCTCCACCTTTGTGTTCTTTGCATGTTTCTGTCTCACTTTTTTTTTTTTTTTTTTATCCTCACCCGAGGATATTTTTCCATTTTTTGTACAGATAGAATGGGAGGGAGAGAGAGGAAGGGAGAGAGAGTGAGAAACATCGATGTGAAGGGACACATCGAGTGGCTGCCACCCGCACGACCAACCAGGGCCGGGGACAAACTGCAACCGAAGTACGTGCCCTTAGCGGGAACCGAACCCGGGTCTCTCCGGACCGCAGGCCGACGCTCCAACCGCTGAGCCAAACTGGCCAGGGCTCTGTCTCACTTTTTGCAATGGAGTTTGTTGGAGGCTATTCCTTATCACAGTCTTGAAGAGCTGTGATCTTCCATCTCCAAGCCGAGTCCCTGGTCCGCTGGCCTCCAGCCCTCTGTACCTCCAGCTTGAGCCACATTCAAGGGATGGTGATCTCAGTGTGTTGATTCTTATTTATTTTTAAGAATGGAAGTGTGATTTATTTTCAAATGATGAAACTCCCCAAGAATTACATTTTCACCTTCATTTCATTTGTCATCTTTTGTACAGGTAGTAGATTTGGACTATAAGGGAACTCAGAATACTAGATGTTTTGTCCATGAGGATATATTCCCTTATGGTCCTAATGGGGATAGGGATGTCATTTCTAGAATGTAATGGACAATTTCAGGACAGCCCTTTGGCCACCCCTCATGAGACTGCTTTCCAGTAGAGTGTTCCCATCTCCACCCTAGGTCGTCTGGTGTGAGACTGCAGAGGAGCTGACAGGAGCAGTCAGTGCTGTTCACTAAGCAAGGACAGAGGACACTACTGCTGCGTTAGAAATCTGGCAGATGTAGGATTGGCCCTCCTGGTATTTTAATGTAGGAATCCCTGACATTGAAAAAAAAATTCTTAAATGTGAACTGCTGGCTTCCAGCCATGCTGCCCTCCCAGTATCCTCCAGGGGGCACCATCCACACTGTATTCCACAGGAATGGCATCCTCCCTTGAATGGAACAGCATAGCCAAGTGAGGTATTTATAGAGGGACACAGTGAGCAGACATGGCCCTGTGTACTGGAGCTCAGTCTAGTACCCTGACTCAGAACTCACCCTAAAGAAGTGATCAACTAATCACAGAACTCTGCTTCAACATTTTAAAACTAGAAAGCATGAAAGAATTCAATAGCCACTGAAAAGGAGAGTTAGCATCTGGCAAACGAAATGACGTACAATGATTTTGAACTAGGAAACATCCATGCATTTGTCCCTTTCACAGCTGTGACAAACACTGATATTTTCATAGTGCATATACTGATAAGGCTATTTTTGAAAGATGGATTCCACGATTATTCAAAACCAAAAATGGAAAGTCAAACTGCTGAGTTTTGGAAAAGGCAAAACAAAGACAGCAGTGAGCTTGAATTTCTTTTTGTGTGTGTCTACTCATATACCACCCACAAGCAAAATGAAATGGACCTTGTGCTTAGGGATACAACCATATTAAGTTTTCAATCATGAACTAAGAGTAAACAACTTGAGCTGGAACACAAAAATATTTTAATTATCCATCTCAAACCACTAAACATTGTAGCAAATATGCTTTTGCATGTAGTGGGCATTCGGATCACTTTGGCCTTCACTCACACATTTGGTGAGGGCCAATTTCAGTGTTTAGCTTTTTTTTTTTTTTTAAATCCTCACCTGAGGATATTTTTTCATTTATCTTCAGAGAGAGTGGGAGGTAGGGAGGGAGAGAGAGACATCGATGTGAGATAGACACATCAACTGGTGCCACCCACACGACCCCAACCGAGGCCAGGGACAAACTGCCACCGAGGTACATGCCCCTAGCAGGAACCGAACCGGACTCTCTGGTTCACGGGCTGACGCTCTAACCACTGAGCCAAACCAGCCAGGGCATAGTCCAGCTTTAATACGTCATATTCCAGGGTGACCAGAACAGGTTAAATGGGGTACGGTTTGTGCAGGAATTTGACAGAAAGTATCAGAAAAGTTCGAAAAACCTGGGCTTGGAAAACTGACCTAGCATTTGGATCCAGTGAGTATTATAAAAACATCTTCAAATGTAACCTCAGACCTCAGGTCTGAAGACAATACTATTAAGGCCTGAGAGAAAACAGAACACTCACGGAGGCAGTAAGCTTTGCTGCAGGAAGACCTAGTGAAACCCCCTCTTACTAGCAGAACCCCAGGCACATCCCTGCCCTCCCGGCTATAAAATGGGGGGTGATGATGCTCCTGTTAGGAACTTCAAATGCGATACAGCATGCAAGGTGCTTAGCATGGTGGCTAACAGAAACCACTTGTTAAATAAATTTGAACTGTATTTTGTACCACAGGACAAAGTAAATGTATTATTTGGCAGGGGATGGGAGGGAAAGGCCCAAAACAGGAGGAAACAACTTTTCCTTAAAACGGATACAGATAGAATTAGAAACCTAGTTTCCAAGGCAAAATTACTTAAACGACAGTGCTACCAAATTGCATTAAATATCCACCATCAATAAAATGAGTATGCTAAGTATTGGCAGAGTATTGAAATATGAAATACTTTTAGGTTGTTTTGATTTTGATGGATAAAAAAAAAATTTTTTTTTTCTTTATTGATTTGAGAGAGAGAGAGAGAGGAAGGGAGAGGGAGAGGGAGAGAGAAACATCGATGAGAGGACACTGATGGGCTGTCGACTGCATGCCCCCACTGGGAATCAGGCCCACAACCTGGGCATGTGCCCCAACCAGTATCAAACCGGTGACCTCTTGGTACATAGGTCGATGCTGAACCACTGAACCACACGGGCTGGGTGGTTGTTTTGATTTTTTAAATAAGTCACATTACTATTTGGTTCCACACTGCTGATACATATCACACAAAATTTAGGCTTTGAAATGCATTTATTTTTGGATTATTAGAATTCATCTTTCATGAAATTTTTATTAAGTAATATACCTTAAATTAAACTCAAGGGTATAACTGCATCCCGATAGCAACACATACAAGTGGTTTTCCATTCAAATTTACAAAAGCATTATATAGTAGTAACAAAAATATAGAAGGGGTTGAGATTAACTTTTAATCCAAAGTTTTCATTTTTAAGACCATCTACCAACATCCCACTGTAGATATTTCAAGAGAGAGAAGAAAAGGAGCACTAATAAAGGTTGTTACTGCTAAACCATCCAATTACTTGAGAGTTAGGTAACTGGATATTTCAGAGTCCACGTGGTCTTAAATATTTTCTGTGAGCAAACAAATTCACTTGTATGATAGGGTTATATGTTTTAAGGTGAAAACCTAGAGTGAGAACAGTACACAGGATGTTTGTAATCGTAACTAATAGTTAAAGCTGCACAAACCTACCTGTTCATCACATTGACTACACAATGTGGGACACGTTTGTACAGTTCACGTTGTTTCAGAGAAACAGATATCCAGTAATGGGAGCACTTCAGCACATTACCAGTAACTATTTCAAAGCTTTTGAAAAGGATGCTGTCAGTTAATATTTTACATTAAAATAGTTCACTTTAAGTCAGGACACTAGGTCCTGAGGCCAGCTCCCCATTCTCAGATCTTCAGAAACGATCCCAGTCCCTAACCGTCCCGTGCTCAGCGGGGTACATTAATGAGTGTTCTTTCTGAGCACTGCACTGCCAATTTCTGGAGCAACCATCAAACTTCACTCTGCTACAAGGAGAGGTATTCATCCCTTTTTTGGTAGTGTTAGTTTTACTTTATTTGAAAAAGTACATGTGTGCTATCAACTTTGGGCAGATGAAAAGAAAACCTTTAACCTGGTTTTATTGAACTGTATTGCCTTATATGCTCTATTCTGTGTGCTATTTAATTCAGTAGGCTGACTGAAGGAGGAAACAGAAACCTCGGGAACTTGGAAATACAACAGTTATCATAGAGCTATATGTCTGTCCGCTACAAAGCAGCTGGAATGTAAAAAAATACATAGAACACAAATGCACAACTCCTCGGGGCTTAGACGAGTTTTCTTCAGCAACCATGGTTCATTAGAAACTAAGAGTCAAGTTATTTAAAAGACTTGAGGGCCCCAGGGGAGAAAATGAATGTTAATTTAGATTTTAAAATTAATTGTGAACATGTTAATTATGGTTAGATTAAAATACAGAAATGCAAATTAAAAATTCAAATGCATAACAAAGATTTCTCTTCGGTTCTTGCTAAAAAGGAAAAAGGACAGAACTAAGTACATAAAATTATATTACAAGTACCAGGGGAACTGCAACCATTAGAGATTACATTTTCTATAGAGAGCAATAACAAACTTTTACCAGCACACATTTAATTAATATAAAATACAACTACAACATATTACATAATGTGATTTTTCTGCTACAAAAAACCGTAAGACTATCTGATGCAAAATATATATTGTGCAAAAATTAAAGAGATCCGATTTCCAGAGAGTGGTAAGGAAAGCTGCCTCACTAGCCGGGGTCCACTGACAGGAACTGAGCTTTCCCCGCCTGTCCCACTGCCAGCAACGGGAGTGGGGCAACTGCGACACCAAAATAAACATTTTACATTCCTCTGAAATATATAATGCCAGATTATTTCAATATTATGAAGAGCAAACACCCTCTTGACCACTGAACAAAGACATGCCCCAGAAACTCTACGAGGGTCTCCACGCGGATCTGGACAGGGGATGAGGGTGCAGATGGAAGACTTAGGGGGAAAACATATAAAAGAAACATATAAAACATTATGCATTTAGTACCAAAAACAGGGACATTTTCCAAGAACTTTTTACATATTTTGAAATCCTGTAAAAACCACATATATTGCAAGGGGTTAAAAACAAAATCGTTGATAAATGAGAATTCGTTTTAACAGAGTCCATGCAATTCTCTTAGTTGGAAAGCTACTGTCCCAAGTCACACAATATGCTCTGCCATATGATTACATATTAAAATCATTTCTTAAAGGAAATTATTTTACATTTTTTCCTGACAGAGGTCTTGAGAAAGTGCTGTACAAAGTAAAGATTATAGAAATTTTTTAAGTGATCATCTTAAAATACTATACAAAAATGTGTAAACAAAAAGATGCTTTACAGTTGCAGGGCTTTATAAACTCCATGATGTGGATTATAACAAAGGATCACCTCTTGTGCATATCTAAAGATTGTCGGCATAACCCTAAAAATTCAAAGTTGCGTTTCAGTCAGCAGCAAAAGGCCCAGGAAGCACCACCGCGGTCCCCAGGCCCTAAGGAGTAGCCGCAGACATGCTGTCTGCTAAGGACTTGGCCAGCACAGGCTCACCGTGCTTATGGAGGGACATGTGGAAAAGATTTTGCAGTCTCACCTGCGAGATGCTCTAACACTAAAATGTTTACACTCCTGTTTTGTCTACCCCGTCAGAGAGGAAAACTGCTTTGAAAAGATACTATAAACAATATAAATTCTGATAGTAAAGCCCTGTAAAAATTAGATATGATATTTTTGGCACAAAACACTTTAAATCCAAGCTCTTTTGCAAAATATATGTCTGAAATTTCTTATTTGAAAATAAAAACTTTTAACATATACACAAGTATAAATGGTTCTATGAATGAATGAATGAGATTTTATGTTTCCTTAAATACTGCACACACCTTCAGTTTCCTTCAGTACCAAGTATCTGCACACACCTCCACATCCCACATGACACAGGTATTGCACAAGGAACACTGCCGAAGTACACACACAGCAGTCTGAAGAGACTTGGGGTTTACCTGTTAGTATTATTTGTTTGTAAGTACTTGGACTCAATATTTTCCAGAAAAGCTAGATGACCAATTTCAGAAAAAGAATGCTTGCTATCTTTCCTTGACCCATAATATTAAAATCTGTATCAATATATTTAAGCATTTCATTTATGTTTTCCAGCATTTAAAATTCAGCAAAACCTGTTTTTGTCATTTCTTACAGCATTCCTTCAAAAACAGGAGAAGCTTCGTCAAATGTAAAAGAAAGTAAAATGAGTCCACAGGGCAGTAATTTTTTCACCAAAGATCTCCATTCTGAGAAGCACTGCAGAACAGTATTTAATTCTGTCAACTTTGAGAGAGCCGTTAGGTGCAAAGTCTGCTAAAAACTTGAAACATACCATGACCGCTGGATACAGTTCTCACTGAATTGCACAATTTCTTTCCTGCCTAAAATGTTTTAGGGTATGCTACAGCTGCTAAAAGGATTTCTGTTTTTCTTGGTCCTCTGTTTGTTGGGCCTAAGATTGATGACATCTCCACCATTAAGGGTACTTGAATTCTGACCCGACTGACTTCCACCAGATGTGTTAAAGACACCTGCAATAAATTGAAGGAAAACACAAGAGTTTGACGCTATGTCTCAGGGTTACCTACTGAACACTGCATCCAGCTTCTTACCGAATCAGTAATATTTCTAACTGTAAGCCTTTGTTTTCATTTATTTAAAAAAAAATTTTTTTTTCTTTAGTGATTTTACAGAGAGAGGAAGGGATAGGGAGAAAGAGACAGAAACATCAATGAACGAGAACATCGATTGGCCACCTCCTGCACACCCCCCACTGGGGATCGGGCCCACAACCTGGGCATGTGCCCTGACTGGGAATCAAACCTGCGACCTCTGGTGCATGGGTTGATGCTCAACCACTGAACCACACTGCCAGGGCTGTTTTCATTTATTATTATTATTTTTTACTTTTTTTTATCCTCACCAGAGGACATTTTTTGATATTTTGTTCAGATAGAGTGGGAGGGGGGGAGAGAGAGAGAAATATCAACGTGAAAGGGACACATCACATCGAGTGGTTGCCACCCACATGACCCAACCAGGGCCAGGGACAAACTGCAACCGAGGTACATGCCCTTAGCGGGAACCGAACCCAGGTCTCTCTGGACCGCAGGCCGACGCTCTAACCACTGAGCCCAACCGGCCAGGGCTTCATTTTTTTTTAATAGCCAGGACACACGGTTCAAAGTTCAAAGGGTAAAAAAGGGTTCACAGTGAGGTATCCCTTCCACCCTAGTCCCCACCACCACCAGTTTTTCTCCCCTAAGGCAAGCATGTTTTACCAGTTTTCCTATGTACCCTCCCAGAGATATTTTATGCATATACATCCTTTTTCCCTCCCTCTGCTACCCAAGTACTAACATACTCTACACATGATTCTTGGTTTTTCCACTAATCTATTTTTGAAATATGGAATCAGTAAATAAGATAATTGTAATAATTTCACTTTAACTTTACGTCATATAACTTCCTCAAGAATACCTGATTCGTAGTTAACTATAGTATTTGTGATATTTTATGTTAATAAAATATTACATATGTAAAAGCTGATAGTCATGTAGGATTTTCCTATCTAGCCTAAAATAACAACAAAATGGTTTACAGATAATTAGTCATGAGTAGATAAAAGGAGTAAATTTTTTAAAACCTTAACTATGATAGTTTCTGTTTAGAACTGTGCTGGTCTTTCTGAACTATTTATCATCCTTAATACACAAAACTCTGGGCCAGAGACACTATCAACAATACAAAGGTGACTATGACCAATTCCTGCCCAAAGGACATTTACAATCTTTATTTTTTTTTTTTAAGCTTACAGTCTAGTAAATGAGGTGCGTTAGTATACAAAGAAGTAACGTTATAAGACATTGTATGTTAAGTGCCATAAAAGAGACACAAGATTCCATGGATGGTTCAAAGGAAGGACCACTTAATTACATCCAATTTATAAGAATGGAGGAACTACATGAAGAAGGTGGAACTAGACGCCTGGCAAAGTCCTGCACTTAGATCTCTGTTCATTTAGAAGAAAAGCATGAGGCCAGCGATGTTGCTGCGGGAGCTTGCTAGATAGTCCATGAGGAGCAAGTAGCTCTCTGGCAGAAGATGGGAAAGGGAGGTTACTCTTGATGGGAGAACCAAAATGAGCGGAGTGAAGAAGTAAGACAGCCCCGGGTACGTTCAAGAAAGAGCAAGATGTCTGGTGGAGCTGGGAAAAGGGGTACATACATAATAGTGGGGCATGAGGCCGCACAGGAAGGAAGAGAGCCTTAATATTCCTTAATGAGAATCCATATACCTTTAATAAGACACCTGATACTACTAAATTTAATAATCGCTGATCTAACACTTTCTAATCACATTTCTTAAATAAGAACATTGTATAAAAAATAGTAAATATGATAATGAATGGAAAATAAATTTACTAGGTAAACATGGGTCTAAAATTTCCTGGGCACTTACCAATTTTGTTACTACTGGAATGCCTTACTTCTGGATGCTCAGCTACTTGTTTGAGTTTTTGAAGATACTTCTCAGCCAAATATTTAAAAACTAGAAAAAAACAAGAACAAAAACCCTACCAGGTCAGTATGACTTATGCAGGTAAAATAAGTTATTTCATATCACGTACTATAATATTTATATTTACTAAACAAATTTAAAATTAAATTAGAATTAGAAGCACACAATCTAGTTGAAAAATTCAACTTTTAAAATTTATTTCAGCAATACCTAAAACAAAAGCAATATTAATAAATATTTAGTGGCATATTATTGGAAAAGAAATGAAATAATATTTGTAATCATTGGCTCTTTAGTTTTAAGTACTTCAGTAGTGATTAATATTCAGCAGCACTAAATGACTTAGTCTTAAAAGGATGTCTCATTTGTTTAGGTGAAAAAAACTACCCAGAAGACACCTGAGCAACAATCTAGTTGCTACCTAAATACAGTAAGTACTAATTCTTGCCCAGCCAGTGTGGCTCAGTGGTTGAGCGTCGGACCCATGCACCAAGAGGTCGCCAGTTAGATACCCGGTCAGGGCACTTGCCCAGGTTGTGGGCCTGATCCCCAGTGGGGGGCATGTAGGAGGCAGCCAATTGATGTTCTCTCTCATCGATGTTTCTATCTCTCTCTCCCTCTCCCTTCCTCTCTCTCTCTAAAATCAATTAAGAAAAAAAAAAGTAGCAATTCTGGAATGAGAAATATAACAATCATCTTTCTCTAATCTTACTTTCTTAAACTAGGAAATATTATTAAACAAATTAAGGTCATTGCAACTACCTAATGGAATATTCACTATTGTGGAGTTCTAAAACAATTCGATAATTTTAAGAGGTATGCATAAAAATACACACATGCATACACACTCACACATAGTTTTATTTTTAAAGATAAACAAAACACCCAGCAGAGTTTGCTGTAGAGTAACAAGTATTCCAAGACATTATAAATAATTATAAACTCTAACTCTACGATACAGTATGCTTTTAATTTTTTCTTAAAGATGGGTGACAAGAAAATTCTATTCTCATTACAAATGTTTTCAAAATACACAACAGAAAAGTGATAAGAAGAATAAAACAAACTTCCTGTTAATTTTTTTTTTAATTTTTTAATTTATTTTTTTGTTACAGATGTTTCTCCTTTTTTACCCCATTGGCACCCCCCTCCCCACCCCACACCCGCCCTGTCCCCAGCTTTGTTGTCCATGTCTATTGGTCATGCATACATGCATGTAAGTTCTGTGGTTTATCTCTTCCCACCCCCCAACTCCCTCTTCTGACAGATGTCAGTCTGTGCCCTACTTCCATGTTTCTGGGTCTACTGTATTCCTCAGACTGTTATGTTTCCTGTTAATTTTTTAAAGGCATTTACCTTCATTCACATTTAGATCTTCCTTCACTGATGTCCTATAGAATCTCAGCTTCAGCTTTTTCGCCAGTGCTTCAGCTTCCTCGCTGTACATCAATTTAAAAAATGCTCATTATAAAGGTACTTTCTGATAACTTGTTTTTTAAAAAAATCACTTTTACTACATTTACTGATACAACTGGAAAGGGGGTGTCAGATGTTCCAGACCAGTTAAAGCTGTGTTCTCTGTGCTTGAACAGGGTTTTTAGTTGTCACTACTCTTGGGGGATAAACACCAACCATTATACTGTAAATTATACTGTAACTGTAAACAGACACTTTTCCATAAAGTCACTAAACTCTAGCCTTAAAATAGTAAAATATCACTTTTCTTTATATAATACTTCAATTTTCTCTCTTCTGTTTTTGAAAACATTTGAATTTAATTATACTCTGAAAATCATATATTGCATTATTTTACTCTCACTGGCTAGGAAACCACTTTGCTGCCAAAGTCAAAGTCAATATAGTAATTAATGGCTGTCTCCACGAGAGGGGACTCCTAATGTGGACTCCTGGTTTTATTAAGACTGTAGTGGCTAATCTCCAAAATGGTTCCCAATGATTCCATCCCATCTCCCTACCCTCCTCCTGGTCTTCATATCCTTGAGTAGTCTCCTCCCACACTGTAATCAAGGTTGGTCTATGGGATCAAGAAAATGCAGAAGCAATAGTATGTGACGTCTGAGACAAGGTCCTAAGAGAATGTGGCTCCTGCTCTGCTCTCTGGGACGCCTGCTGTGGGAAGCCAGCTGCCTTGTGAGAACACTCACGCAGCCGTGGAGCAAGGAACTAAGGTCCCTGCCAACAGCCGAGTGAGTACAGTACCCTGGAAGAAGATCCTCCAGCCCCAGTCAAGTCTTGGTGTGAATACTATAAGGCCTAACTGACATATTGACTCAACCTCATGAAAAACCCTGACACAGAACAACCCCAAATTCCTGACCTACAGAAACTGAAATAATAAATGTCTGTTGTTTTAAGCTACTAAGTTCTAGACTAATTTGTTATAAACTTCTAGACTAATTTGTTATACAGCAACAGATAACTAACATAACACATAAAACAATAATGTAGATACCAAGCAAAGATATTCAAAGCTAGCAAAACTTTAATAATACAATGAAAAAATACTATAAAAAAAATGATATGGATGCTAAACTCCATCCACAAATTTGAGCATAATAGTTCTGAATATACAAAACAATATGAATCTGAACTAATCTGTTTAAACTCATCAACATAGGTTATCTACTTATTCTATATTAAAGCATATTTCTTAACATTTTTACATATAGTAAGAATGTTTTTCTTAACATTTTTATTGCGTCTAGATTTTACTTAAAATTAAGACCTAGATTTGTGGTGCAAAGACCTAAGACTAGAATTATAAAAGGGCCTTCAAAATTTAATCCTTTAATTTTCTCTATTTAAAATTCAGTATGAACTTCTCTAAAAACCAAACCAATCACATAGAATAGCTCACAGAAAATTTAAATATAAGGTACTCTTTATATAAACTTCCCTAAGTTTTGTAAGTCTATGCATAAATTAAAATTGGTTTTAACTTTATGAAATTATCACCACCCACTCAACAGTAGCCATCTTACTTCTTTATACAAGAATCATCCAAGAGATCAATCTTGTTCTGGACAAGTACAGTTGGTATATCTCCAACTTCAGCTACTACTTTCTCTCTCCAACTGGAAATTGCTTCAAAAGATTCCCTGTCTGTGGTAGAAAATACAAGCACACAAGCCTGGGCTCCTGTAAAGTCACAAAATAAAAATGTTATTTATTTTAATGAAACAGTCTTATGCAGGGGGAGGGCAACTTTTACCTATCAAAACAAGTTTTATGTAAATAAATGTCGAACTCATCTTTTAGCATTCTGCTTATTTTTTAACATATAAATTCTATTTTCTAATTTCAAGAACCCATTTTTACCAAGAACAGTGGTTCTCAAACTTGTACAAGTGTCAAAGTGCCCTCAAAATCATACACTTTTGGGGGGACACCATGAACTACTGATACATTTAATTACACTGGAAGTGCTAGAGAGAATGGTAAAATGGTAAGCATAAGTGACAGGCGGCTGCCACCTTCTTCCTGTTGATGTTTGTCACTCTCAATTTCTTTCAGCACAGATTTAAGAGCAAGCTATGAGAAAAAAACACAGAATTTTCTCATTCTATTTACATTTCTAAATATCTATTATCTTATTTTAGTAGCAGAATACCAATGATGCTAACGAACATCATTTAAGAAGAACCAGTGCCAAGAGAAAAAATACACAATAGAGAAGGAAAAAGTTAATTAATTTTCACCCCGTTTGACTGCATAATTCCCGCACTATATTCATTGACAATATTTTATCTATGAACTATCACATCAGATTGATAATATCTAAAATTAAATAGAAGCAGCAACCTTCTGGAAGAAGCTCTTTTACTAATTAGCTGTTGAATCAGGTGGTGCAGTGACGAGAAGCAGGTGTGTCATCAACAAGAAAAACGGTCCTAGGGGAAGGAGGGTTTCCTGGAAATGAGGCATGTTTTCTTATTTACACCCTCTTTCCAGATCCCTCATGCATAAGAGTTTCCTACTAAGACTCACACATACATGCTGGGCTACCTAAGACACTCTAAGGCTAGAAGGTTTGTTATCAGCAGAGGGAATACAATGGAAGGAAAGAGCGTACGATGAAAGAGAAAACCAGTAGTTAGTATGACTGTCAAAGCAGAGGCTTCATCTGGGAAAACCTTCCCTCCTCCAGACAGGTTTCAAACCAAAGATTAAATTAATTGTACACAATTCCTAAGGGGAAGACAGGCAGATACACCCTGAGACTTTGTCAAAATTGAAAGAATAAAACTGAAGAGATCACACTAGTATATTGGTAAATAAATTTATATTTACTTGAACTCTAATATTTACTCAAACTACAAATAAAACATTATTTAATCATACTTTAACTTTTATTGAACTAAGTTTTATTTTAAAACTCTATTTGTTAGCTTTAAACCTAGAATTTTGTATCTAATCAATTGTCATTTAATTGGAGGGTCCAATAGGATATTTCCAGGTATACAAAATTTAGACACTTAAAAAAAAACCCTTAGAGGAAGTATATAATTCTATTTTTTTAAAAAACAAAAAACTGCCCTGGCCAGTTTGGCTCAGCGGTTAAAGCGTCGGCCTGCGGTATAGAGAGACCCGGGTTCGGTTCCCGCTAAGGGCACGTACCTCAGTTGCAGTTTGTCCCCGGCCCTGGTTGGTCATGAGGGTGGCAGCCACTCGATGTGTCCCTTTCACATCGATGTTTCTCTCTCTCTCTCTCCCCCTCCTGCTCTATCTGAACAAAAGAATGAAAAAGTGTCCTCGGGTGAGGATAAAAAAAAAATAAAATAAAAAAACAAAAAACTATGCAGATAGTGCCAGAAATATGGGCAGCAGGAATAATTAACTAAGAATAACAATGTTTTGTTTTTTACAAAATTAAGGATCAAAGGATAAATGACAAAGTATATGCATAACAACCCCAAAATTAATGGGGTACTACTGAGTGGGGAGTGACCAAAGGAATGTGGGAATGTGCTAACGTGCCTGTCTGAAGAGGAGGATGTAACACTGATATGTTTAAGTAATCAAGGGAGGTAAATAAACATTGATATATGGAGCAGACACTGGAGGACCTGTGTGCCCTCGGCCCCTGGGTCACTGCAGCTGTGGAGACAGTTCCTGCCTCTGCAGGTGGCTCTGCTTCCCTGCCCCAGGGCATTTTCTGATGCTTCAGAAGGGACCCTTGGTTTGTTGAATCATCTAAGGGGAATTGATGCCTGGGCATGCGTGGGGCACGGGGTGTGGGGGGCAGATACCTCAACTTCACTTTGGTGGGACCATCCTGAGGTGTGCCTGTATGGTTCTTCACAGGGATCCCCAATTGCCTCCAGTTATCATCCCCCTCTACAAATTTCTCTCCCTCCTTCCCTAGTCTCTCACTTCTACTTCCCAAATAAATTACCCCCACCCAGTTGTGCCAAGAGCTGCTTTGTGTGGGTCTTGGGAGGGGAGGAAGGGTTAAACTAAGACAGTAAGTGTCTTAAGTTAAAGGCAATCACCATAAGAATAAAGAGACAATGTGTGCCTACTAAACCACAGGAGAAAAACAGACCTATCCAACGGACAGGAGAAAAGAAAGTAGGAAGAAAAAATACCCTACAGAAATATAACCCCCGAAGGAGACGACAGAAACAAGTGAGAACAAGAGTAACTACGATCTTCAGAAAGAGTGGTGCGCACGCCTCTGAAGCAGGACAGCCACCTGATTCCAGGCCTTCAGACTGAATGCTGCCGCCAGCCCAGCCTGTTTAACTGAACTATGTTACCAACATGAAACAAAGACACACAACCTGGATTACTCTTGCAGTTATAATAATTCTGACAAATGTTGGGCAACTACTTGTTTTATCCCCTAACTGAAATCATCCATCCATAAAAAATATTCTGTCAAACTGTGATGCATTATGGTTCTTCTATGTTTAGGAAAACTCTTTAAAAAAAAAAAAAAGCCCTAATATATACCAAAAAAAGTTAAAAGAGGGCTCTTTTTGACTGAGGTACCAATAAAACTGATGACAAATTCCAGATTCCAAAATGTGTGCGAGATCACCATTTGCAGAATTTACAAAGGAAACAGCTATAAAGCCTACACAACTCTGGAACTCTCTCGAGCACGTCAGTATATATACATATATTTTAAGAATTGAGAAGAGGAAAGGAAGAACATTATGAAAGGATTTTTTTTAGAGAAAATACTGTCCACCCCAACCCTTCTCTCTCTTTCAAGAAGGTGGGATGGGTGAGGGAGAGTACTATCATTACCTCCCCTTCATCTTTTCTTTTTCCTCCAAATTCCTAGTTTAATAAGGATGTGTTTATTTTAAGGGGAAAAAAGGTCCCAAACATCAGGTTGTTCAGAAAAATAACCCACAGTATCAACTTTAGAAAACAAATCTTCAGACTATTACACTAATTGTTTTCCTAGAGGATGCATCTGACATGCCAGCTCTCACTCACAAACACAGTCACATTTGTGCTGAACAGCCCACATCGCTCTCACCCGGGGCACAACACACATCCCTCTAACTCAGGGCTGCTCTCGGGGGCTCCTCAACTACTGAGGTTGCCTTTGCACTTAGGGAAGCAACTACTGAATTCGTATGAATGAAAAAACTGTACTCCTTCATAACAAGAGATTATTTTGGAGACAGCTGATAAAAACCATACATCCTTTTAAGTACTAAAGAAGTATCAAAATTAAAAGCAAACATTATAGGGTAAGACTCAACTACTGGGAGTGTAAAGAAAGTGAAAGTGGGACTAGGCGCAGGGCAATATGAATTAATGAACACGGGAGGGACAACATGGGGAGGTATTAGGGAGAGGATCTGGCGAAAGCGTTGATCTTAGACAAGTGCGTAGGTAAAGAAATAATGGGACAAGATTTCTAAACCTCACTGTGTGCTTAAGAGTCATCCTGATGCCCTGGCTGGTTTGGCTCAGCAGTTAGAGCGTTGGCCCAGAGAGACCAGGGTTTAGTTCCCACTAAGGGCATGTATCTCGGTTGCAGTTTGTCCCCGGCCCCGGATGGGATCTGTGGGTGGTGGTCAGTTGATGTGTCTCTCTCACATCGATGTTTCTCTCTCTTCCTCCCGCTCTATCTGAAGATAAATGCAAAAAATGTCCTCGGGTGAGGATAAAAAAAATGAGTCACCCTGGCCATTGGCGCTATCTCTGTTATCCTCGCCTCCTCTTCATCTTAACCCAGCAGGAATGGACTTCAGCAAGACCACTTCAGGAGCTTGCTGTGCGTTCCCAGCAGTTAGGGGCTCCTCGGGCTGATCCTGCTTGATTCAAGCCTGAGGAAGATGCAGCGGCTGGGAGCACGACCAAGCGACAAGAGGGCGGCACTGGGAGTGACGGCTCCCACTGCTGGCAGACAGAGTGCACGGGACTTCAGACCAGTAGGGAACCATGCGAAGAGATGAGCCAGCATGGGGTCGTTTTAGATCGTGTCCAATAGGGCCGTTTTCGGGTGATGGGAGCTTAGCACAAAGGAAGATGGAGGTGGAAAGATGAGTCCCACAAAGGGGCAAAGCAACTCCCTGAATAAAGTATACGTTTGCCCTGAAGAAAAACCCCCAAGAATGGAAACCTTGGAGAAATCCAGGATGATTTCCTAGAGAAAAGGCCCCAACATCAGACAATAGCACCTACCACAGTGTTCTTGTCTCCCAATCTGCTCTTCTCCTAGGCCTGACCCAGGAGAATAAAGGAACATCTCTAGCCCTGGATGGTTTGGTTCAGCAGTCACAGCACCAGCCTGAGGACTGTACCTGGTCATGGCTTTGATTCCCAGTCAAGGGCAGTACCTGGGTTGCAAGGTTCAATCTCTGGGCCCAGTGGGGGTTATGTGGGAGGCAACCAATTGATATGTCTCTCTCACATAGATGTTTTCTCTCTCTCTCTCCCCCACCTCCCTACCTGCCCCTGTATAAAAAAAAAAAAAAAAAAATCAATAGAAAAATATCCTCAGGTGAGGATTAACAAATAAAAGAAACATCTCTAGCAAGCTAGGGAAGAAAGTGGGAGGAGGAGACAGCCAACATTCCTTTCCCAGACCACAGGTACTGGCCTGCTAAGTAAGACTCCAGAAAGGAGAAAATATTTAATGGTAAAATACATTTGGAGTTCTGATTAATACA